GCAGCCGCCTGGAACGCTCTTCCTATCGACATTAGGAAGCCACTGAAGCAATGCGCTTTTAAATCTAGATTGAAAACTCATTTCTTAAGAACAGCTTTTTTGTGTTTAGTCTGTTGTCTTTACTCCGCAACCTCCGATTAACACAGTTGCCTACGTGCGGTGCGAAATAAGTTCAACAACATACAATGCAGCATCCCTTGTTGTATTCCCTCAACCTTAGTTCACCCACTATATGCTAGATTTGAAAAAAAATACTTTATTGCTGAATCCCTTTGAATCTTCTCTGAGTGCAAGTTGAACGTGGCCAGGTATTAGATAAGTTGACTTCCACGTTCTGGTGTCATGTCGACTCAAGGCTTTGCAAATAGAAAACAGACATTTCCTTAAACCATTGTGAAAACTCAGAGTGGAGATGACTTCATTAGTGTGCAAAGCAAAGGAACACATGGCACAATTTGCACGCTGATGTGAATTCTACTTCCACAATGTATGTATTTATGTTGAACTTCTTTCGTACCGTACGTAGCCAACCGACGGTTTGATAACAGTGCAGCACAATCCATTGCTGCATTTGTATGCGTCTACATCTATGCTGCCCAACTTCGGCAACCAGCATTGACAAGCGTGGTGGAGTATGGTCAAATGACCCCCAGGAGTTGTGGAGCTGCATGACAATGGGGGAGACCTTTCATCTAGAAGTAGATTGAAAAAGAGCTTAAAAGTATGCAATGTGACATATTACAAGATCAGTGAGAGAATATGATTGAGCAAGTTGAGAAGTGATCTGTGTAGTGCTTATGCCACACTAACACCTCCAATTAGCACGGTTGGCTACGTAGAGTACGAAAGAAGTTCAACACACATACATACAACACGTGTTGTGTGCATGGGTTTTCTGTGAGCACTCTGGTTACTTAACAACCTAATCAAACATCCCAACTCGAAACTCAGCTAGTGAATGTGAAAATTAAACAGTATACTTGCTTAACTAAATACATAATTGTGTTGATTGCATATACGCTGCCTTTTTTTTACTACACACATATTTTTTCAGTTTGGCGAGAATGAAGACTTCATTATTCACGAAATTCCCTCCAAACTTGCTAAATAACTGTTAACTGTAATATGGAAAATTCAACATCTGATCAAGTGCCAAACGTGTTCATAAAACCAAACACTAAACAACCACATACCTCTCTGAACCGAAATTCAGAGAGGTATGTTTTCTCCTTAAATATACATTTTGTCAGAACAGACATGTGATGCATAGTACAAAACATCCTCATGACAAAGTTTATTTTTATACTGCCACCGCGAAGATTGAGAAATGCCAATGGGCCTTCTTCTTATTGTGTAAATTGAGCCAAAGCAAGGCACACGCCAAAATTTCTCGGCCGCCACGGAGATGGAGCAATGGAATCAGCTCATGTAGAGGTGTTTGATGGGTTGTTGCATTGCAAGACCGTGAGAGATGGAAACAGCATGGAGAGGCCTTCGTCCAGCAGTGGATTGATCATGGTTGATGATAATGATGATGCTCACTGATTAGTTAGACGATCGGTAGACCACGTGCAGTGAGACAGAGTGTGGGTATTCAAAGACCACTGTGCAAGAGAAGGCCAACGTTCCCTCTAAAGGGGCTCCCATAGCGGTCTATTTACTGGAGGCCCTTGCAGGGCTTCACTTTTCCCTCTTAGTAGCCTACAAAACCATGAGGGCATGTCTAACATTTAAACGTGCATGCCTATGGAAATGACCTCCTTGTTTGCCACGGGGCTTATTTTTTTTATAGGCATTGTGTGGAATTTGAAGCCGTATGAGGTAAAGCCTATATATAGTCTCGGATTGCATATCATAGAAAATAATATCAAAGCATGTAGGAAAAAGCATGCAATAAGGGTAACTGCAGACAGGCTTTGAAGTAGTAATGTTTTCAGTCAAAAGCATTATTCTATAAACATCTATCTTGTTACGTTCCCAAGATTAAAACAGAGCAAGCCCATGGTTTGCTCGCATTTAAAGGCGCCAGTTAATGGCGACGCGGTTGCACAGTTTTATATTTTCAGCTTTGTTACCAAAGTCAAAAAACATTCCTTGAAATTAGAAGCAGGGGAAAAAATGCTCAAGGACTTCTAAAAGATAAGTGGATGATGGATATGGGTGTCCACAGGCCCAGGGAGATTATATCACTAATGGAAGCCGATGATGATCCTTAATAATATAGTGTGGTTCGATTGTGTATTTACTACATGCCTGCCTGCGACTTCCTGGAGCCAGATAACTACACGTTCTTTTTATAGAATAGTCTACTTTAAAAAAACATAACTAGATGCCTAAAGAAGAAAAACAGCTCAAACAACACACAATAATATTGCACAACTCTCAACATTAAACGTTTGTAAGACGCTAGAACATCATTCCAACAACTTTGAGGTGTGGGGGGGGGGGGGTGACATAAATTGTAGAGGTTAATGAGAAAATGCATTTTGTGTAAGTAGTTTAGAAGTGTCTTTGTCAGGACTATACAAATATCCCCAAAACACATTTTTTTTTACCAGGTCAGAAACGGATTACGATAGAGGTGATCATTATATATTGCGTATTTATAGGTCAGGTTGTGCACTTATGAGCGTGATTTGAATAGTTATGTATTATTTGCATTTGCGTGGAAGAGTAGGCCAAATTACAATCCAGTGGAGGTTCTTTCTCCAGAAGTGGAATGAGTACAACAATTGCAGGGCTGCACCTTTAATTTGTTATTTACATGAAGGCGTGCATAGTTATGTATTTAAGGCACTTGTAAAAAAACATGTACAACTTGATAATGTCTCACATAAAAAAAAAACAAATCAACCTCCACGTATTGGCAAATCGTGTTTCATTCCTCAATATATTAGCCCTTGCATGAATATCCGCACCGGCATAATTAAAGCATTAAGTGTAGCCTGAGAGGAACAGAGTGTCTTGAATCTGCACGAAACGTGCTTTTAAAGGTCCCACACTTTATAAAACATAAGCACGCTTTATAGTTAAACAATATATCCCCGTTATCTTTTGATATGAAACAGCAGTGTGCTGAAGGTGTCAAAACAGTGTATATAAACACAAAGCGTAAAAAAACACATCTTTCACGTTTTAATCCTCCAGTTGGAATATAAAATCCTATTTAATCTCCGGTCTCTTCTGCTCAAACTCCCATCCAGTTACGCCTCTGAAGCGGGCATGTGAACTCAGTGGCTGTGCTAGGCACCCTCAAATAAATGAAATGCGGAGGATCCCAAAGAGCCCGAGGTGCCTGGGATTTGCGGGGAAAAAAAGTGCTCCATCATATATCCGTTGGAATCCTCATACACGTAAAAAGCTAGATTAAATAAAAAGCCAATTATTGACTCATATTGTTTGCATCAAATCTCACTATATCTATATCTCTTGTCTATGTATATACCATATTATCAATAGCATTTCATGAATTGAAAACCATCCCTCTACAACTACTTCTGCTTAGGGCCCCCAATGAGCCAGCACCACCACTGTGTGGACATGTACGATGCACATTTATCTCCAAACCCCATCAGTATCCACGTGGTTTGCCGGTCTGCCCAGAGAGGGGTGGCAAAATGGGCAAAGTTTCCTGGGCCGTACACAAGAGAGTGCCCCGCAACCGATCTGAGGACGGTGGAATGAGCGGGCTAGCCCCACGTGGCCTCCAGAAACCTCTGGGCGGCCCTGGAGATCGTTTCTCTGCCTGCGATGGTCACGCAATCTGGCACAGACATTCATCCTTTGGCCTTGTTGTCGCCCACACATTCTGACATTGTGCTGTCTGTAATCACAAAAGTGCAATCACGCTGCCTGCATCTGTTCTCTCTGCACGTACGCTACACAATACTTGATGCACCTCCCTCTGTTGTTATTAAAGGTCACACTTAATTTTTTTTTAATTAAATAGCGATTGTAATGGTGATGCAATGGTGAGCGCGCTGCACTGTGAATCTGGCGACTGGAGTTCGATGCTTGGCCACGGTCCTTCACTAACTAGTGTGGGTGAAGTATGGTCAAACAACCCCATGACCAACCATGGCGTGGGGAGGCCCTGCTATATTGGTGGTGGATTGAGAATGTCTGACATGTTCTGAATTTTAACAAGGAATAATCCAAACATAAACACAATAGGATGCCTACTCATTGTTTTTTTCGGTAAAGTCACGTAGGTAAAAAATAAAATAAATCAAACCAAAGAGTATGAATCCTTGCAGTCACGAAAACTTTAAATCTAGAAACAATAGGATTCCGTGGTGAAATGTTATATACGCTCATGGTGTTGCGTACAGGAAAATAGGTGATTTCAGGGCAGGCGACAAGGGGACGTCAGCCCTGGAAGCTGTGCGTTAGCATCGATTTATTTTCGCCTTGTGCCTCTCCTAACCCAGATTTTTACACTTTAATGTCAGTCACATGTCACTTTCAAACACGTTTTTAATTAGGTCCAGATGGCTTCTCATATCGCCCTTGGCGGAGTGTTTGTGTGTGTGTGTGTGATGGAGAGCTAGCAACGGGGGGACGAATGCTTCTTAGAGCAGGGAGAGAGAGCTCACAACTCGGCAAAGAAGTAGCAAGAAGAAGACTGCACGCTCCAGGAGTGAACTCGGCTCTTACGTGTGCGTGGCTATTTGGACAACGAGGGGAGCGGTAGTGTCGTGGTTAGCGCACTGCGCTACGAACTCGGCGCCGCGAGTTCGATTCCCACTCACGGCCAACATCGTCTCGTTGTGGAGACAAAGGCGGTCGGGCGTGGTGTCGTCCACCCAAACCCCCTCGTGTGCCGTGCTGGCCTTCAACGTTGCTCGCTAACAGCACTTGCCCCAACAGTTTGCCAAAGGCTATACGGGGTATCTTTGTCTTTGGACGTCTGCAAATGTTTATGCGCGCGCGTGCGCGTGTGTGTGTGTGCGCGCGCGCGAGAGAGAGAGGGCATTTGTGTATTATACCGTGCACTGGCAAGCCCCCTTGCTTTTCATGTCCGAACGGGGGGGGGTCGCCCTTTCCTTAAATTAGCAGATTTATTTTGTCAACAGTGCGTCGGTCTAGCGCTTTGAAGTGCCGGCACGCAGCCGGAGCAAACAGGGGCGAGCATTAGACGCGGTTCTTTGATCAGCCCCCGCTGCTTTGCGCTTTAATCAGCCACTGCTTCGCTGCTCCACAACCGCGCGTCATGCCTCCTTCGGATCAAAGCGGGTTGCCCTGGCAGTTTCATACGGTGATGACGATGTCCAACATCGGTCGAGGTTGCTGATTAGGAACGCGCGGCCGGGCGGCAAAGGAACTGTAGCTAATTAAGAAGAAGAAAATTCTAAAGGTTTTTGACATCGATGAGCATTTTTCCCTGGAGGCTGGAGTTTTTTTTTTGGGGGGGGGGGTGCCTTTAACAATTCCATTCCGGCTCAGCGGTTTGAGGCTTTGAAAGGCGCCCTGTTTGCTCAATTGAGAAGTTCCGTTTATCTGAAAGCGCCTTTTGATCTTAATAAAACGGCCGCTGCCTATAAGGAGGGGAGGGGGGGTAACGGAATCGGTTTTGTGTTTCATTTTGCAAAATTGGCATCGAAAAGGTCATACATTGGGAGGTACATCATCATCATTATTATTTTTCTTGTGTAACAGGAAACACACGGAGCGGCTGTATAGCTTAGGCAAATCACATCTGCAGCTATCAGCATCATCTTTCTGAGCAGTAGCCGGGAGGTTTATAAAGCCAGTTACTCACATCTAATCCGCCAGTCCCTCCAGAGCAAGAGATAACAGTCACCCCCATCAATCCGGAGGCGTCAGCGGCTCACGACAGCGGCAGAGTTGGGAGAGAGAAAACAATATATGCGCGTACAAATAATAATATAACAAAAATGTCACATGTCACGGCTTTTAAGATTTACAATTCCACACTCTAGTTTACACCACCCATAGCCGGACAAGAGCCCTTGATGTTTTTTTTTCTTAATAGCAGCAACTTGATTCCACATTTTACGGATCATTGTCGCCGCAGCACCACAAGTAAGTCGTGCATTCGTCGCTGCAGTGAACAACTGCTCCACTTGGATGCCACACAGCTCGGCATATGGGGGTGCTTTTTTGTTCGGGCTGTGATGTGTGCTGTAATAACCGATAGCGTGTGACTAATTCCCGCTTTGTGTTGCAGTGCGGTGCTGAAAAACGCAGCTTACTCCGAGAACAGAACGCTCAGAAACTTCTGAAGAGGCGAACGCATCAACGAGGAATTTCCATCTCCGCAACTGACCCAACGTTACTCGACAACGGCACGGCACTGAGCCTGTGGATTTAAACCGGGACTCTGCAGACAAGGAGAGAGAAGGAGCAGGCAGACGTCGACGAGAGCTATGGGAGGAAAGCCCGCGACCGATGTAATGTCGCTCTTGGCGCTGGCCATGCTGAGCCTACACGTTGGGACGTTGCTGGGCACATCGGCCGTGAGACACGGCGGCGATCAGCCAGCAACACGGAGGGGCGACCTGCAGGTAGGTCGACTTGCAACGTGCATTTCTTACTTCACTACTGCCACTGTGGCTGTTCTGTATATATTACCGTGTAAAATGTGTTAATATTGTGGGTTTGAGACCGACTTCCAATGTGGAACTCAAAAGTGTGATAGTTTATGGGGTTATGCGCATGCATAACCCCTTGCTGTAAAGAGTTTGTGTATACAAAGAGTTAATAGACAGAAGAGATACCGCGATACTTATGAAGGATCCAGTTCAAAAGTACTGTCATTTGTAATGAGTTGAAATCCCATTCTAGTCGATCTGCGTATTATTTAAGTTCATTGCAAGCACGTTTCTATTACGAATGCCAATAACGTGTTTTCGTGTTTATAAAATATGTTGAGGTGTTCCGTGTTAAGATATGAATGAATGTGTTAGTGTCGTGGTGAGTATTCACGTGTAATTATAGACGGCAATGCTTAGGGCTTGAAATACCGCTCATGCATGGAAAACATTCACACCGCATGCACTTCACGTGACACGCGTGGCTCCACGTCGGGCCATGCGGGACGTTACATCACTGCGTATCTCGGCAAGATGGGGAATTCACACATTGACTCTCTTCATCCCAGGCCCCAGCACACACTTCACAAATACTCTGGGCTGTTAGGGTATGTGTTCCCATTGAATCAGAATCGTTATGTATACTGGAGGAATCCGATGAGCTATGAAGATATTTTTCAAAGACGTCGTGTAGCAGCGGATCAGAAAGTTACAAAAAAACGATAGAAGTGCGAAGTATAGTCAAGGTAAGCAAATCACTCAAAAATAAACGATTCTCATTTAATCAGGTAAAGGCCACTGACCTATTTGATTACACTGGTAAAAAAAAAAACATGTTTTTCTGCCCTGGACTTTTGCAGCTGTTTTAGACTAATTTCAGGGCGCTGATTCCAAATCTGATCTCAGATTTGCTCTATCACATCATTTGTATGCTATCGGCATACCCCATTTTCATTGATTTTACCCGAAATTAACTCTGTCACTTATGATTGCAAGTTGTTCGAGTCAGTGACTGCTTTAGTGTTAAAATATGATGCTGTATTTTAGGACAGTGTGTTTATAATATCATTTTATGTAGATATCCACATTTATTTAATATTTTTCTTCTGCAGTTTTTGTTGAAAATGCAATATTTGATATCTCAAAAACCTGATGTGATAGACACAAACTGATACCAGATTTGGAATACCTTATGCCATAAAAAGTGTGTTGACCAGTGTTATTTTTCAGCAGCGACCTAACCACAAATAATATCTCAACGAAGTGGCTTGTCCAATAGGTTAATTGCAGTACGTGAAGCATCATCTGATTTGTTATTTGCATTGCGGTGATTGTCAGAGTTTATATTGTGGAGCGGTGACGCAGTGGTTAGCACACTGCGCGATGGAGCCGTAAATCTGAGTTCGATTCCCCAGCCACGGCTAACATCAGTGGCGGTGACCGTTCCCGCCCCACCAGCCCGCACTGACCAGTGTGGTGAAGTATGGTCAAACAATCTTCATGGCCAGAAGGCCTTCATCTACAGCTGTGGATTGACATTTTATATATATACAGTACTGTACTGTTATATATATATACAGTACTGTACTGTATATATAATAAATGCATGTATTACTTATTTGACTATTTTGAATTGGAATTTAATGTCTCGATAATAGGTTGTCGGCCCAGTTTTAGAAAAGCAATCTGCAACCCACATTGTGCTTAATGTGTTCATGCAATAGTTATACATTCCATCACGATATTAACAGCAAGATCTACGTACTAATGCACTGCGATTTGAATTTTGCGCCAAAAATAAGGCATCCTATATGCACAGCAAATATGAAAAATGACAAACACGTGTGTTCAAAGATGTGCAAGATCTCCCTTACAAACAACAATCACTTGCATCTAAATTGGCCGTCACGTGGCTACAGTTCACAACTGTGATAATGATGATGACAATAAATCACAATCTCCCAAAAAATCCCCCCAACCGCAATTAAATTGTTGTTAATTACAAACCACACGTTTTCATCACAACACCAACAACAAACATATGCTTCTCTTGCACTGGCCATGTCTGTACATCTGCGTCGGTTGTCGCGGTTATGCTCTTCACTGTGTGAAGAGCATAACCGCACAACGAGTCTGTGTGCAAAATGTCAGCTCGATTGGATCACGGGAAGTGGGTTAAAAAACGACCGAAAGATTTGCACTGTCGTAAGCAAGCAAGCACGCAAGCACGCAAGCAAGCGAACTTAATATAAAGGATTTAAAAATGCCAGAGTTCACACATTGAACTCACTCGTGCCCGTGCCTGCCCCTTTTAAGGAGCGGACGAGATCGCTGGACGGGACGTCGCCGGGCACAGTTGGTAACAGGAGCGTGTCCGGGGGGCACGGCAGGGAAGGGGCCCCTCGTCGGTCCAGGCAACGCCAGGCAGGCAGAGGACGCAACCGAAGGCGTCAAGAGAAGCTGGAGATGCTGAGTGACAGCCCGGAGACCTTCGTGCTCAACCTGGAGAACATCCCAGATCTGTCGCGAGCGGACCTCGCTGGACACAACCCGAATATCCAGGTAAGTGCCGCTGCCAAAAGCGCAGACACGCTTTGAGCTCAATGTGTAATGTGACAATGAAGTGTGGGACTTTATGGTGAGAGTAACGGAATGGTGTGACGAAAGAGACCATTGAAGTGGAATTTGAAATAGTGTTGTCCTGAAACGAATTTACTTAATGGGACAATAAACATAATTTAAAGGGGCACTGTTTTAGAAACGAATAAATTAATGTAATTGGCCAAACAACTGCCACAACTGCGGAGCCCCCCTGAAAGAGTCTTGAAGCTTCGTGAATCGTTGCTGGGTACAATTAAAGGCGTTAGCATGACATTAATTTAATCAGCTCTTGTTTACAAAGTTACCAATAACTTTTGATACGTGCAATTAGATTGTATTGTCTTTGTTTAACCTCTTGAGAAACAAACATGTACAACTATGAGATCAGAAATTTACAATGTCAATACTGTAATCGAACAAACGCTACTCCGTGGATTAATGGAATTACTTAAAGAGCTCTGTAAATTGTCCGAGGTGCAAATGATCAATTTTTTGTCACATTAGCTGGTTACAACTCCCCATGTATGCCGTTGAACATGTGTTTTGCATGCTTAGGGCACCCACCACATTTAAACTATCAGCTGGTCGCATGTGGCGGCGTCAAGTGTGGATTACTCCTCAATCAATCTTTATTTTACGTGGCAATATCGCCCTCAATAAAGTAGGCATCGGTGCACATTACAACGAAATGGGAACGGTACCGGCGGCATAGAGCATTAGGAATGAAAAAAGAAACCCGTCACGCCCTCCGCGGCGAACACCGACTGAGCAAAGTCAATTACAACCGCGTGCAAAATAAGGTGCAACCGTGCGCAACGAATAGTATAAGAGACGTAAGTAGTAAATAAAAATAAATGAAAAAATGTTTTTACTGGGGTTGTCAAAACTTCCAATTTCTCTCCCCCTTGCCGCTCTCATTGACATGCTAATTTCTCTGCTCCCCCCCCCTTTCTATATGTATAAATGCCTCGTCACAGAGGCGTTGTTTCTCTTTGTCTCTGTATGTGTCTCTGTCTGCGTCTGTGTCTCTCGATGTGTCTCTCCCCCATGTGTGTCTCTCTCTGTGTGTCTCTCTCTCTGTGTATGCATCTCTCTCCGAGCTTGCATTCATTCACACCTGATGACGGTTGCTTCTGTTGCAATCGAAACGTCGTATTCTATTTTTTCCTATCTACGTGACTTTACCGAAAGAACCAAAGAGTAAAAATAAAGAGAGTTTTTATTAACAAAAATAAACGAAACTCCTACGTCTTTCAAGACGTCCAGCCAAAATATCCTCTCGAGGGGGGCCTCTGTAGCACCGCCAGCACTGCCGTGAGCAAAGCCATCGCAGGGGGTGTGCCTCACAACATTTGAGATTTTCACTCTCGACCCCGGCGACCGTCGCTTCTCTTGGCCAGGTCACAATCGAGGTGGTGGACGAGGCGGAGGGAGACGTGGACATGGAGCTCAAGCACAACGGCGGCGGCGGCGGTGGTGCCGGCGGCGCTTGGCGGAGTGGCACGAGTTCGCGGCACGGCGTGCCAGCAGTGGCACGGGCTTCTCGGCAACCGGGACGCGAGGGCTGGTGGCGCCCGGGCGCAGGTGCTCGCAGGGCTGAAGGCGCCGCACTTAACCCAGTGCAGAGAGAAGCTGCCTCGGCTGAGGAAAGCAACTTTCTCAACCCACTCTTTGGATGGTTTAGAGGCCTTTTCACCACTAAACCGTGGGGAGCCACCGCAGACACGAAGTATGGTGAGAAATACCCCTTGTAAGATGCACGATGGACTCGATGCACCGGCAATGTAACATGCGTCGGCTCGTGGGTTTATATTGATTCTTAAGCTCAAGATGCACTGCGCCAGATCGCTCTGCGTAACAATCGGATGTTTTGAGATCCATGCGTACGTTTTTTGTGATTGGTCCACTCGCCCCCACCCCCGCTGCCACTCGAGGTGTTAACTTTGACAGAATAGAAAAAAAATTGTGTGCCGAGTCGAACCGCTACAAGACTTGATCCATTCGCCGGCGAGGAGGTTTGATGCATAGTGTCAACCTTGGAATGCACTGTTTAAAGTTTACTCCAAGCAGTTGAAAAATAAACCACAATATTATAAGAAATGGCAATGATATGTTTTGAAATCAGTATGCAAAGAGGTATATGCAAATAAATGTCTAGAACATCTACAATTGTACTCCCATGAAGCTATTAGTATGCAGACATGAAGAAAAATATGGCCTATTGCGTAAATGTAACAAGCAAACCTTTTTGTGAAACAAAGTTAAATCGATGTCATAAGTTTTTCACGATATTTCAATCATCTATGTAGATGAGTGGTTTCCTCTGTGGCTATCCTCTGAATGTAAAACAAATATTGCACTTCCGTGCCCTTTTTGCTCTTCAGAGCAACGCTAGGCTGCCACAGTAGTCCTTGGTCCATGGACATGCCATGAATGGGAACAGTTTTACTTAAGGTGGCTAACGAGGCCTGAAACACATCATCTTGAGTGACGCTGAACCTTGTCGTTGTAAGTGGCTGCTTATGCAATTTTTTGGGGATATTTAAACAGCAGATGCTGTATGTCTGCAGATGACGGAGAACGAGAGGGCCAGTGGGGTCTCTGGTCTTCGTGCAGCGTCACCTGTGGCAGTGGCAGCCAAAAGCGTACGCGCTCCTGCGGCTACTCCTGCACTGCCACAGAAGCTCGTACCTGCGACCTGCCCAGCTGCGCTGGTATTGACGCCTACACCTCGAACAAATGCCCAACCCCCACAAGTCCTTGCATCAACACTCACCTCTCTCATTTCAACCCTCCTCAAACGATGGTGATGACTGGTGTCTAAAATATCGACAAGATTCTAAAATGCTGAACTGGGAAAGCAACATTCATTCATTTTTCGGCTGCTTGCGTTTTAGCCGAAACGTCGTGAGAATTATTTTATTATGTTTTATTTTATTATTTTATTATTTCCCTTCTACGTGACTTTACCGAAAGAACCAAGAAGATGAACATTCATTCAGTGCTGCATGAGGGAACTGGTGAATGGAGATGTGTCACCGCCGATCAATGAAGCGACTTAGGGTGGCCTTTTAGAGAACATTTGAAGAAATATTTGAAATTGGTGTCATTTTATTGTCTTGTTTTTTTTTTCTAATTCAATCCAGAAATAAGACTAACCAGAAGAAAACCACAATATGTATCAGGCTAAAGCTAAGCACTTCAAGCCACATGTAGCGATCCTCCCTTAGGACTTGACCATGGCCATGCACGTGCGTCTCATAACGGTTCACGGCCGCGGGAGTCTACTGCAATTCTGACCAATATTTATCGTATTAAACAACTATTTCCTGAATTTTCGATTTAAAGCTTTCGTGACTGCAGGGATTCATCTTCTTGGTTCTTTCGGTAAAGTCACGTAGAAGGGAAGTAATAAAATAATAAAAATAAAACATAATAAAATAAAAGAATATAACTATTTCCTGGCCCCTGCAATGGACGAGTGTTAACGATGTCTGTCGTTAGCCGTCTTAATGAAAATGCACACAGCGATTTAAAGATTATGGGCATGAACACAGTCACACACTGCATGAGTCGCAGACTAAGGTGAGCATTCTATACCCGTGATCTTTAATTATAGCATGCTTTATAAGCGGTGCATAATGATTGCAGCCTTCTACAACATGGATAAAACTCTAATCTTTTAAGTATATGATTACCCGTAGCTGAAGCAGAATACAATAAAAGAAAAAGGGTCTCCAATGTATCCGCTGGTAAGGCAATGCCTGAACAAATCTTGTCATATCAGACAGTTTTGAGGGAACATCGTATTGCAACTGCTTCAATCAAAAACTACCAGTTCCATTGTGTGACAAGGAGAATAAAACGCGCTTTTAATAAATGTATTTCAATCTTTGTGCTTTTTTTTGCAGGAATGGAGGATATATTTAAGCCGGCAACATCCAATGTGGAGCTCTTAGCACAGGATAACCGCAATTCAACAGACATCCTTGGATCTGGTATGTGATGATTATTGTTTCGCTCGAGATTTCAAACAAAATTTTTATTGCTCTAAGGATTTTGGTATTTGTGAGGTCACCCCCCACCCCTACCTCCTGTCCCCGCACACCATGCCAACTGATGCACCCCCCCCCGACCACCACCACCCAAACAAGCCCAACCCTGCTGGGTCCATGAGAAAAGGGGTTGGGGCATAGAGAAAAATGGGAAAGATCCTAAAAAAAAGGGCACAGGGGGAGCCGAAAGGGGAAGGGGCGTGGTCTAATTGACAAGGGGCGTGGTCTGATTGACAAGGGGCGTGGTTTAATTGACAAGGGGGCGTGGTTTAGTTGACAAGGGGCGTGGTCTAATTGACAATGGGCGTGGTCTAATTGACAAGGGGGCGTGGTCTAATTGACAATGGGCGTGGTTTAATTGACAAGGGGTGTGGTCTAATTGACAAGGGGCGTGGTTTAATTGACAAAGGGGCGTGGTTTAGTTGACAAGGGGCGTGGTTTAATTGACAAAGGGGCGTGGTTTAGTTGACAAGGGGCGTGGTTTAATTGACAAGGGGCGTGGTTTAATTGACAAGGGGCGTGGTTTAATTGACAAAGGGGCGTGGTTTAGTTGACAAGGGGCGTGGTTTAATTGACAAAGAGGCGTGGTCTAATTGACAAGGGGCGTGGTCTAATTGACAAGGGGCGTGGTCTAATTGACAAGGGGCTTGGCCAAAAGTTGAGGGACCGGATGCCTTGCGGGAGGTCGAACTTCCCCGTTGATTTGATGTCATAAAAGCGTGCGATCAAATACACGCGGCAGGCAGCATACCTATGGTGCCACCGATGTGTGCCGCAGGCCAGCTCGTTGGTAAATAAAACGTTGCTTGCACTGCGCGCTGCATTGGCGAGTGCAGTCAGCCCCTCTACGGACTTTCAACTTGCCACCGGTGACTCCTGACTAAGAGGACGACCTTCGCTATGAGACGTGACCTTTACGCATCTCGAGGCTTCAAAGCGCGGGGCTGCATAGACGTATCGGCAAAGCGAAAATCGTTGCACAAGAGGTTCACTGAGCAGAAGGAAATTACCGTTGGAGGGATACAAATGGAGCATACACCAGTGTTTGTGTGTGTATTTGTGCAAATAAAGATCTCTATATCTCTAGGAGTCTAGATGCAAATGATGAAATGAAGAAGTGAGCGAGAGCGCGTTGGAGTGCTTTGGGGAAATTTCAATCGATAATGAAAAGCAACATGCCAGTGTGCCTCTCTAATAACACATATGGATTGGAGACAGATTCTGACAAAGAATATGTAACGAAAGCTGTAAGGTGCACACAGAAGCATGGTGGAAATTACACCGAGAGAGAAATACGTGGATCAGAGAATAAATGCCAATTGTAAGACATAGATTTTTAAGGAAAGTAATTGGGCTAGGGGAGAACACATTTACAGTAGAGATGACAGCCGAAGGTGGAAAATGGTGATACATTGGCACCCAGAGATGGTAACATGCCCAGTAGATGATGCACCGAGGAGATGGAGCAACGACATAGTCTCATGCGCAGGAGCGAAATAGCTTGTGCCATCTTCGGACCATGAACGATAATGACATTGGGAGGCTTTCATCTATCACTGGATAGGTCAACACTGTGGGAAACTGGGGAAATTGCATCTGGGGAAATTTCAGTTCTATAGAGATTTGAAGGGGCTGTACAGGCACCGACACTAATGTGGGAAAAGATAACCTGTAAAATGTTTCTACGGTGCTTTAATTTTTATTTTTGCTTTCACAGATGTGGACAACTGTGAGAGATGGGTGACCTGCAGGGCTGAGTTCCTGGTCACATATCTGCAGAAGGTGTCAACAGAGCTGCCCAACTGCCCCTGCGCGTACCCAACGGAAGTGGCCTATGGGACCACCGAGGTGCTTGACGCTCAGCTGGGCCGTGACTTCCGCTGGAAGGACGCCAGCGGCCCCAAGGAGAAGCTGGAGGTGTACAAGCCCACGGCGCGCTACTGCATCCGCTCCCTCCTCTCCCTTGGAGAGCGCCACACTGGCGGCGCAGCACTGCTGCTACGACGAGGGAATGAGGCTTCTCACACGGGGCAAGGGGGCCGGAACGCCGAACCTCATCAGCACCGAGTTCTCCTCGGAGCTCCACTACAAGGTGGACATCCTACCGTGGCTCATTTGTAAAGGCGACTGGAGCAGGTATCACCAAGCGCGGCCGCCCAACAATGGCCTGCATTGTACAGAGAACCCGACAGAAGAGGTCTTCAACGCTCAATTAAAAGACGCCAAAGAGTTCTGAGGACACTTCTTGGGACAATTTTTTTTATGCTGTTACACATTTCCAGGACATGAACTTACATCAAGGACACGAGTTGGTTGTGAAATTGCTTAGCGGTTTGTTTTGAACACGTTTGTTATGGATGTCTGTAACACAGCTAAAAGAAGATAAGGACTGTAGCACTACAAATGATTGTACTCCATGGGATTCCGGTGACCCGTGTGTAAAAAGCCAAGTAAATCCCATCAGAAGTCTCCAAAAAATCATTGTTTTTTCCTTTTAGTTGCTCCCAGCAAATTTGAGGCAAGGACCGGAAGGCCAGAGAATGCTTTTCCCTGCCAACCACAGCATTCCTGGACAGATTTCATCATGCCTTCTGTGTTCCGTTAGCCAGTGTGTTTCCCCTGCAGGTGATTCTTTCCATGCGAGTGACCCAGGGCATTTGCCCATCTGTTGGCGCTCAATGATACATCAGTGGCAGGGCCTGACAGCTGGCTGACATCGGGGGCTCAAAGGCAAAGTCAATTCCACTCACGTGGATCCAATCAGCCTCAGGGCCTGTGTGCTCCTTTCGAAGCGGTTGTGACCTGGACATGTCAAAAAGGTCACGCGTTTTTCCGAGCCCTTGTATTTGTATTAACCATAGGCTGTCAATATTTCTTTTAAAGTTTGTTTTTTTCTAATGTATATGACTATAGCATGATATAGTATGTTAATTATAGATTGTATTTTTTGCCGAATACAGAACATCTAGGACTGGAAAAGCAAGGGTGGTGAAATCTAACCGCTTATTTATGCATTGACATTTACTTTAAAGAAACTGGTTTATTTTTGTACTACTTGTACTAATTTATTCACAGAAAACTGCTTTTTATGCAGGGAAACATATTGTATATCAGGAACACTGCAATTTTCAATGCATCAATGTGGTAATAAAAGAAAATTAAATGTGTTCTAAAAGAGTCTGGATTCTTCTTCAGGTTGAAAGCATCGGATTCTAAAAAAGAGATGTTTTTATTTAAAAATTCTCTTAAACAATTGTCTAAATAATCATGGGTTTTAACAGTTGTATGTGTGTAACCAGATAAAATGTAAACATTAAAAATGCTTACCCTATAGTGGAGTGGAGTGGTTACCACACTGTATTATTAATCTGACTGACATGAGTACCATTTCTGGCCATGGCCATCAGTGAAAAGTAAAATATTAACCAGTCCTGGGCCTCCCGCACTGACCTAATGTGGTGAAGTATGGTAAAACAACCCCCATTTCTAACAACTATAGGGAGGCCTTCATCTTGTAGTGCATTGACAAAGGGCTGTAAATTGCATATTCGTTTTAATCCTATTGAATAGCTGATAAAAGCATGCACTATATTTGCTATGCTGGAATTTAATTACTACATATGTAAGCTAAGAATCGTTCTTGGTAAACTAGTCTTTAACATTGCACACACATTGCTACGAACATGTATTTTTTTGGAGGTTCCTGAAATTAAGAATACTATTTGAACCATGTCCTTAGTGGTATTTCCAGGGAAAATACAGCAGAGTTCATGCAAATAGCTTAGACTATGGAAAGTAATACTGTGCAATACACATTAGATGCATCTTCATCAAGCTCGTGATGGAAATAATGGCAAACTGGCATGCTGGAAAAATCACGACGTCCCCATAGAAAGCCCAAAAGTGTGTAATAGTTCAGAGAATATAGCGGTATATACCTACCAAAATACCCTCTTCAAAATACTTCAACTTGTGAAGGATAGCTTCATGTATTATTCAAGACAATCGCTTGTCATAGAATGAATGTACCTCCTGATTTAGCTTTAAGGAGAGGGATCTGCTTTAACTCCTTTATCTTCCAGAGTGAGCGGTTTCTCATGGGACTGGCAGAGATGACAGATCGTTATCGCATCAGTCACTAAGCAGCCGGAAAGCCCTTGCAGATTAAAGCAAGCTGCATCTAAGTGTGCAAATAGTCACCTGATCCACAATACACGTCGGTGGTTGGTTGGCAATTTACATTTACCAGTGGGCAGGTTTAACGGCGGCTTTGTAATAAATATGCAGGTACAATGTGTGAAAGTCACGAGGTGAAAACACTTTTCAGTCGTGGTGCTCCATAAAACCTCTCGAGAGTGTTTCTAATTTCGTGTCAGAATCAGAAATTCCCCTTGGCAACCACGTGTTCTCCATTGACGTTGTGTGCTTCCACCACGTTACTTTGGAAGCGCAGGTGATGGCAGTATGGTCCTCATTTTTAAATCCTTTATATTAAGTTCACTTGCTTGCTTAGGACCGTGCAAATCTTTCGGTCGTTTTTTAACCCACTTCCCGTGATCCAATCGAGCTGACATTTTGCACACAGACTCGTTGTGCGTGACAATTAATGTTTGTGAAAATTTTTTTCCAAAATTTTACACTTTTTAGGACAAAAATATTATATTTAATTACCAAATGCTTAATGCTGCCATGCAATCATCTGACCCATAGGTGGCAGCCATCTCAAGCCAGAGGACGAGAGGACTCTAGCCGCCACGCATATAAAAGATTTATAGTGAAAAACTTTGTTTTTACGGGTTATACTTGTTGGAACTGATTTTACAGTTGACCATGTACGTTTCGTAATTCGCGTGACGATACGGTTCCCTGGCATTAAGTACTGCAAGTTTCTGTTTATATAATCTACATTACAAGATAACATGCTGGACAGCAAACCACATGCCATATTCTTCGGATTATGAGACTCACCGAAAAATAAGACGCACGCTTAACTTTTACCCAGGTTCAATAAAGTTGAACAAAAGTGTTCACACACACACAGCTACCGGATTAGAAGACCCCCCCCTACCCCGCCAGCGTTTGCTTTCAACTACAGGGGTGGAAAGTGCATCTGATAATAATCCGGACACTAGCAATCTCCCTTCTGCGGATAATATGAAGAGGACACGATATGAGTAATGCGCATTATCTTGTGTTACGTGCTAAATATGCAGTACTCGGAATAGAAGACACGTAAACATGCTGTGCAAGTTTCGTTAAAGACTTGTAGCATTAAAATAAAAAAGTAGTCACTTACCACTCGATATTTCTTAGTATTTATTTATTCCCTTAAAGCCAAACTCAGTTAATATTTATATCCATAACAGGGAGATGTACCTGCAAACATGCTGTGAATCTAGAAGGTTAATGTTAGCACGTGTATGGAACTACATGCATGAATCTAAGCAAATTGCTGTACTTAGGAGTTCATTCAGAGCCCTTCGATGCGTTCTCGGGTGATGCCACGTGCTATACATCACACCAAACACGCGGTACAATCCGAACACACATCAGAGATCTATAGTACAGGACAACCACGAAAACCTGCACATTCTCAAGAGTCAATTCCGTTCCTTGAATATACTTTCTGTAGACTTGCCCTACCATTGGCATGCTTTGTGTGGTGGAGTACCCAGGCAGTGAGAATCATTCTACTGCATTAAGAGAGGGACACAAGGCAGATTCTACCTTTGAGTGCTGTGGGGAAAGGACATTGGCCAAAACTTTCCTTTTATAAACTTTTTTTTTAAGCCACGGTGTTATTTACGAATGTGTTGAGTTTGTTGTTGTCGCTATTTGTACACCACTGCCAACGCAGCAGCAACAGCAGCAGCATCACGAATTAATTTGCCCCAACAATGACTCGCTCGACGCAACATCGGACATTGTGACGATGGTGTGGGTGCGTTGTCAGGTCGTGGCCTCGCCAGGATAAGTGTGAGTCCACCCACAATGCCCGAGGCTTTGCGTGCTCGAGGAGACCACACGGAGTGCACGTGATGTAAGAATAAGAATCCTGCTCAAGATACATGTCCTATTGTACGAATTATTTTAGCAATGCCTCTGCTGCGTTGGCATAAGTGCAAATAGCAACAACATAAACTCAACAGATTCGTCATTGTGCGTGTAGCCTTAAGAATAAAAATAGTATAAAATAGGCGAAATTTCCGGCAATGCCCTTTTTTATAGCATGTGAATCAGGGACATTGCCTCAACATTTGCCTATTATATATTATACTTTTAATATATGTTACATTTATTTTTAATGCAATCAAAGAAAATACTACTGCCTTCTTCATGTGCTATGCCTTTTTATCGCACACAGGATGTTGCGAAACTCCCTTCCTGTGACGTTGAGGTGCCATACCCTGGCTTGCCAGGAGAATGCGGTACAGCAAATCATGGGACCAACCGCCATCTGTTCCATCTGTGGGTTTTCTCAGGGTGCTCTGGTTTCCTCTCGCGTGTATAAACACTCCTTAATTGGTTGAACACATTTGAATAGAAACGCACCTCCGTGAGTTGCAGATTGTGCAGCATTTGAGATAGAGTTTGCATGAATAACACAAATGTCTAAAAATACTGACAATTGTTTCATACGATGTTTCACTACAAGTGAAGCGGAACGTCGGACATCGTGTACAACCAGAAACAAAACATCGGAGAGGATATCTATAAATAGATTGCCCTGTATAATTCAGTATCCATGTCATCCCAAAGCCAGTACTTAAAACAAACTGGATTTGAGTTCTAGATCTAAGATGCAAAACTTGAGAGGGAAGACAAGAGTGATGGCTAAACGAGGGCCTTGATCATTGTTTGCTGTGCCTCTCCACGCCTGTTTCACATTTATGGTGCTTATACACAGAGGCCCCTTTAGATACTGTGTCAATAGCTTTGAAAGACCAATAATAAATTCAACGTTAAACACCGTGCAACACTATAGTTCAGCAGATATAAACAGATTACTTGAATATTATTCAGACATTGTGCGGTGGATCACACACACCGCTATTAGCGCAGCGACCTGAGTTTGATTCCCATCCTCGGCTGGCATCAATGGCAATGATTGTCTTGCTGGCAATCACACTGATAAATTCAAATATAGAACAACAACGGAACGGAAAACTAACGTAACTTAATACATCACGTTGGCTGTTTTGGTACAGCATAAGTACTTGCCGGAGAAAGTACTCATCATATTGACTGTTGAGAAAAGTAAGTTGGCTTGGATAGGACACGTCGCTAGCAAGGGATGCACGCCATGGGACAAGACTGCAGACAGAAAGGCAGTCAAAGAGGGAACAGGTCTGAGAGGATGACCATTTCGATTTAAGCTTTCGTGACTGCAGGGATTCATCTTCTTGGTTATTTCGGTAAAGTCACGTAGAAGGGAAATAATAAAGTAATAAAAATGAAACATAATAAAATGTTTATTTTTAATTTTTATTTATTTTATTATTTCGATTTAAAGCTTTCGTGACTGCAGGGATTCATCTTCTTGGTTCTTTCGGTAAAGTCACGTAGAAGGGAAATAATAAAATGATAAAAATAAAACATAATAAAATAATTCTCACGACGTTTCGGCCAAATTTTAAAATGTTATTTTTATTCCTTTATTATTTCCCTTCTACGTGACTTTACCGAAAGAACCAAGAAGAGGATGACCATTGTAAATATGGAGTGATTATTGCATTGCAGGGACTCAGAAAGAGGGCGACGATGTGAGGAGTCCTTCATCTAGTCAAGGATATATCTGATGACGACGACGACGATGATGATGATGAATGAAAGTTTGGCCTTTGACAGGGTGTTGCCATTCTGTGGATGTACATGTTTGTAATTCATGGAGGGCCTCGGGTGCCTTAAATAGAGTGTAACAGATGCCACACGAGACTATCGGCTTGCACTGCGTTTAGTGTAAGCGTGTTAATGAAACCCCAACAGCAACTAAAGGCAGAGCACACACTGAAATCAAGCATTCAAATCTATATGAATGAAACAAACAAATCGACAAAATCCTCGATTTATACACTTTGTTCAGATTTATTCGTTGAAAGTTATACATGTTACCAACAACAATATTCTTTGGCAAT